TTGTTAGTATATTTTGAGAATAAAATTGTTGATAAAGATGATTTTGAGATAGGTATGTTGGTGGTTCTTGTAAGCAAACATATTATCGATATTCTGTTATTCACTACGAGGTTTTTATTTTTTCATTATTTTTTTTTTTAAAGTTTACCTACAAATAAGAAATAAAAAAGAAAGAATGGTTGGAAATTATAGGATTGTCGAACATAAACATTGGATCAAATATCACCTTCGTTTGTTCGTTCCATTTTTAAGAGACAAATTTTAATAGAACTTGGAATGTATCATATCATAATGCAATTTTTCATCAGATTATATCATAATGCAATTTTTCATCGTCGTATTTATTGGTAAATAATTTTATATTTAATTTTGAGGAAACAAGACATTCTCAGTTCCTTAAAACCATCCACTCGTTTTCGGTTTTTCTTTTTCGTTTTTGCTCTTTTTCAAACGTGTCCAGGGTGTAGACAGCAGCACTAGCTGTATATCAATTTGCTACGCTCGCGTTGGCCTAGGCTCGACCAGTATTATTGCAAGAATACTTGTTTACTCTACAGCCAACAGTACAGCCAAATACCTCTGGAATGCATAGAGATATCCTGATTTATAATAAAATAATGAATTCACAATCTCATATCTATCATCCCGGATATTCTCATATGACAATGAATATTGATCTACTTTAATTAAACATTTTAATCATACTTTGATTACAGTAAACTATACAAATTACAAACATATCGAGTTCTTAGGTTTTCGCGGTTGACTGTGACCGTGACCATGGGACCTGTAAAGGGCCCGAAACGTCGGTTTGTTTGAAAAAACAAATATACGCGATTTAAATCCGGAAAAATAGTTTCATTCCTAAATTACAAACATTCAAGCCATACATTTGCATGTCGATATTGACTTATCGATGATTATGGTAGAACACTAAAGAAATCCGCCATTTGTGGTGGACATTTTTGGTTTAGGTAGGGACGTTTATCTCGTAGATAGGCAGCTCCTTTCCTTTATTTTTTTCTATCCTCTAAGATTCAAAGTTACATTTTATCGTTTTTCATAGCTGTCAAAATGGGCCTATTACATCGTGACAACAACAGTGCCGCAATTTTGAAAAGGTTACAATTAGATTTTTTTTTAGATTGAGATTATTGCAACGAATATTCGGTTACTATTCGGTATTCGGTTTATTGGGCCTATTATTTGCTATTCGGCCGAATAATCATCAACTTTTCATCAATCAACAACAACAATCATGTAACTTTTGAAACAAATCTAATTAAAAATACCTACTTGTTGTGTGCTTATAACGATAAACGCTAACAAAATCAACCATGGAAGTACAATTTTTTTGCAAACTTAATAAAAACAATTTTTTAAAAGTTAATCAAACTGAAGTGAAAGAAACAATTACTTTTTTTTAAGTCATAAATTTAAATTACAAAGTTGAAAATTAAAGCACGTTTTTTGTTTCTTTGTACAAAATTAGTGATATTTTTCGTGCCAATTTTCGTATGTGCGTTCATCAGGACGAACAGTTTAGCCGAATATTCGGTTATTAGGCCACGCTCTTGTCGGAAAACTCGGTAATATTCCGTCAGAGGCTGAATATGCCAGTTAGATCAATTTATCAACAATTCGTTCTTTTGGAGACTACCAACCAATATTCATTTATAGTCTCTACATTTCTGGCAGATCAAAAATGTAAATGAACACAATAAATCAGTGAGGCAACCTCTGCAATTACCCCTATCACAGTAATCTGACGACCTAAACAATTGAATTTGAATAAATACCTAAGAAGATAAGCTAATCAAGATGACGGTGTTGGTGCAACTCAATTGTTTCGCAGCAGGGGTTCAGATATCTGTCGCTTAATATTGCAGGTGTGATGTTATTGCATCATGCAGCGGCTTCTTTTTATTCCAACTGGTCACGAGTAAGTCTGGTGAGATTAATTATGGTACAATGGGTTTCAAGGTGTTTATGGTAGATATGGAGATTTGAATAAATTAATCCTACTCTCCTTAATAGGCCACTTATCTAAATATAAATATTTGTTTCTTATTTAGGCTGTACACGTAATAGCAATAAATAGTGACGCCTTATTCTGTCTTTTTTTTACCAATAGTCAGGATCTAAAACAATTTTAACATACTAAGCTATCCTCCAGAAGAACAAGCTTCCAATGACTATACCGACACAAAGTTAACAATTTTACCTCAAAATTAAGTGTTAATAATGCAAGTTTTATTTGAGTCCAACAATTAGGCAAACAACACCTAGAATTGTGATTTCCGCAATAGTTACGTTGTCCGAGAAGCTGTGCGAATTAAAATGAGGAAAGATGTTACAACACAGAGCAATCCATTAATTATAACATTGTATTTGGCTTACTTTTCGATGCTAATGCGAATTTTCCGCGAGATAACCGACACGGACCGAAACCTTAGAGCGAATTTGTTAATGCCGTAGCTTACGTTACCTACTTAAGAAAATTTGCATCATGTCAACTTTTTCTATGTACAGAAAATAACACACACATAGGATTTAACTAATATATTAAAGCTAGACTAAATCTACATGTATCTGTTGTTAGTGCACAACAATTAAAGTAGACAAGATACACATGCCTCCATTCTAAATACTATGGCGTAACATGACGTGGACATAATGTACGTATGCTAGACTGCGAGTAGCTTTCCAGTGTGAACGCTAGAATACCCTATCGCTATCAAGTGACGGCTAATTTACCTTTCGAAATACCTAAATACTTTCAACAAATTGTACAAATAAGAGAAAAAGGTATGCAATAACGTTACGAATGTAAGTTCTCGGTTTGACGACTGAGATTAGGACTATGAAATAGTTACCACATTCTTGTAAATTAAACTTTAAGTCCCATAATGCAAAGCACGTGACTCGTGAAAACTAGACCGAAGGATTACAAGGAGGTACTGTGCAAGCAGTTCGATGATTGGTGCCATGTCGAAACTGAGTTTAATTTTCTTACGCGAAGGCGTTCTATATGGCAATAACTTAAAACGTGTATGTGAGTTTACTTGCTCATAAATTGACTTAACTTACTGAGTGCATGTGAACTTATGAAGTGGAATTCAAAAGCAATATTTATTTCTCAACATTTAATACGTTTGCTACCGGAAGTATGTGCCTAGATCTATTTGATACGTGTTGAAATGAACGGGATCAATTTTATTAACATACAAAACATTTGTAAAGGCTCATTTCAAATAAGAAATAAGTAGTCTAGCGATTAGTCTCGTCCGCGTAACTTTACAGAAAGCAACAACCCATTAAGAAAGTTTTCTGTATCATTAATGCTGTAGAAATTGTGATAAATCGATAATGAACCGATAAATTAAAGTCCCAGTCCCAAGCCAAATAAAATACATTTTTGGAAATAGATAAAGAATATCTTAAGCGGGTAATTGGATTTAATGAAAAAAAAAAGTGTTTACACTTTATTTGGACAAATAGGATTTGAGAATACATAACAAGTATATGTAAGTGTACACACACTTTCACAGGAATTGCAATTGTATAAGTAGAAAATGAAATAGAAAATTTTTTTTAGATAGTCACTGTTGCCCTTAAAGTTTGTAACAGTAATCTCGAGCAATTGCGAATACATCCAAGACCTCCAAAAAAGTGGACGTGTTCAACCGTAGCTTCGTTGGCATTACAGTTTCTCAGATAAGTAGTTCGCATTGGGTAAACAAAGCGACAGCGTGAAATTAAAATTATTACAGAGGTAGTTGTATATTACTTTATAAATGATGTCAGTGTCAAAAAATTCAAGATTGACAACTTCGATAAACACGATGTAATTTTTAGAAGAAAAAATAAAATACACCTAAAAATTATGTTAAATATATAAAAATATTTATTTCTTAATCAGAAGTATAATTACAAATATATGTATGTACATGCTTTCGAAGTAGTATTCTACATACAAGTTTACAAGTTGGCAAAAATTTATTGACGCATAGTACCATTTTGTACAGTAAAGAGCACGTCAAGCTTTGAACTTTTGACCGTTCTTAACGTAAGCGATATAGAGTTGGATTTAAATCGTAAGTGGCAAGCTTGACGTGTTCTTGACCAATGATATTATACTTGTATGCTCACTGCTCTTGACCCTGTACACATATGTTGGTACACGTTAAGATGTTGTAATGACGGATAGCGACCATAGATACAATCAAAATATCTATGATAGCGATTCATCCGTAAAACAAAGACCTAGATGCAAGACTGCGTATTCTCAGGACATTTCGTTCGCTGTTCTTAGGTGCGGATATCAGATCGACCGGTGATCGATTTTGTATTTTCGAAACAAAACAATACATACAATTCTGTAAACACCTATAGGCCTTATTTTGAATAACAAGACTGTGTATTTATCCTTTTTTCGTCGTATAATCACATCAGACTCTGTTCTTAGGATGAGTGGATTAGGGGGAGGATGCTTGGTCATGTAGAAAGAATGAATATTGTTAGATCGACGACACAAATTTATAGAGCAAATGTGGATGTAAGCATGGGCGTATATATTTCGATCAGATTGGAGATGTCCTTAAAAAGGCTGGGTTAAAAGTACCAACAATAAATGGGCACCTATGTTGAGACTGAAGGGATTTGAGGAGGTCGAAGTAGGTTTGTCAGGGCGTAGAAGGTGGAGGTCCATGGTCTCTGTTTACCCCGATGGGAGATAAGCGTGATGATATGTATGTAGTTCACGACGTTAAATAAATAAAAAAAATAAAAATAATTTATTTCAGACAATACACAGTCCATTTTGTTAGTACACTTATAAGCTATCTATTCTACTGTGTTTGTACAAAAGTTACAGAATAAAAATAAAATGAATGAATGAATAAAATGATTAGATATATGAATGAAATGGATACACGATACCTGCTAAGTTCACAGAGTTAAAGTAATTTGTTCAATTAATTATAAAATTTATTTTTTAGTTAAATACGAAAAAAGGCACTCATGATTTGCTCAATATCCTCTTTCTTCATGAAAACATTGCGTGTAAGTTTCTGCACCATTGCGAACAGTAAATAGGACACATCTTTCCAAACTGCTGCCTCCGATTTAGCTTCGGGAACGTCACTCCAGATCGCCAGAGCTACACCAGGAAATTGTGGCGTGAACTCGGCTATTTGCTGCCCGTACGCGTATTGTGATGGTTCCCAATAATCAGCAATTTTATCATAAGTTGGATAAGTATAACCAGCATTCTCTCCCAACACGTAATAAAAGTAACTGTCATTAAAATTAACGATCGGAAATCCTTTCTCAACAAAAGTAGTGAGTGGTGCCATATTTTTATTCCATTTCGTCCAATAGGTGATCTCAACTGCTTCAGAAAGTTTTACCTGCTCATTCCAATTAAAGCGGAAGAAACCGTCGTTCCACACTCTGGGAACAAATCCCCAACTACTAATTTTTTCACTCACCTGGTTTACATAGTCCACAAAACAATCAATAGCCCCGGCAGATTCCCCGAATTTCTCCTTAGCAGCTATACTTAACTCAGGGTACAATCCAATTTCATCAAAATTAACAAATTCATCTCCGCCAATATGGAAATATGTACTTTCTGCAAACAGTTCGGCGAATTCTTCATAAATCGACAAAATAAATTCAACCGCTTGTGGGTCGCAAATGTTTAGAGCACTTTCATCATTTTTTAGTTCTCCATTGCGCATTTGTTTCTTTAGTTGCCATTTTGGATAGTTTTTCAAAATTTGTTTCAAGTGTCCAGGGCTGTCAAAATCTGGAATAATTTCGATGCACGAACGACGTGCGTAAGCAACAATTTCTCTTACTTCGTCCTTTGTTAAATATTCGTCAGAAACAACTTCTGGTGCAGTGTTGCATTCTATTCGGAATCCTTCGTTTTCCGAAAAGTGCAACTGTAGATAATTGAATTGGGCGAGACACATGCTATCGATGAGTTTTATAATAGTGTCCTTTGAATAGTATTTTCTTCCCATATCGAGCATTAGAATTCGTTCTTCTTGTTGATAGCTGATGTCACTCTCTCCTACTGGCATTTTTTGCAAGAATTGTTGTATTAGAGCGTGAACGGCTGTATGTAAAAGCATGTTCGTAGTTCCTGCTGTTATCGTTATTTCTTTTGCGTGATTAATTTTCCCTTCTGTTGAACCCATTCCATTAGCTAGCGATAAAATGATATCGCCTTTTCTATTTCTACAAATAACAGCAGGAATATGCAATAGTTGCTCTACGACATATTTCACTTTTTTCGCAACAAATGCTACCTTCTTATCGGTGATGGAAATCGTAATTCTTTCCTTCTCTTTAACAGTATCTGGAGTTCTAAACTGATGAAGTCGGAAGTACTGCATTTTATGATCGATTAAGATTTCACGTGCGATGTTTTAATAGGTCAATTCGACACTTTCTTCCGGATTTATTACCGATGCCCTGAAGACAAACGAAAAGAAAAACTTAGATATTTAATTATGAACGCTGGTTTCTAGTGCCTGTCAGAAACGTATAGCAATAGAACAAACAAAGTGCATTACAAAATATTGCTAAATGTATACACCAGGATAACAATAGGTATTTATTCTGAAGCATTTTATTTCATCAGTGGGTAGCAAATTATTTATCAAATAACTGATAAAAATAATATTTTGACTTATGTTAATGAATAACTTTAATAAAACTAAATAATGGTTTGCATATTTAATCTTTGTTATAATCTAATATTCTATGAATATGGAAATGAATGATATTGATGATATGAACGTAGAGATGAATGGTTATAATGGCAATAGTAAAACTTCATGATTCATAAAATAAAATTTTCTAACGGAAGGCGAAAGTTGGCATGAAAGTACCTGACAAATACTTGTAAAACTTCAATCGATGACGCAAAACTTTACTTGAATAATGTTAAAAATGGAAAACGTGGCTCTATTACCATTTTTATTGCGATTTTACCATAGATTTATTAAAATTAAAATATGTTATTTACTTACGTATTGCCGGTTTACACGAGACGGTAACCAATAATTCATATAATATGCAGATGTTGCCTCGTTTGTGACGTCATGGGATTGCCGTGTTTCCTTTTATTATAATTTTCATTTGAAAATACATCTGAAGTAGCTTTAATAGTTTCATTTCACTAATGGACTAAGAATGCACTTGTCGCGTCAAATAACATTAAACCCATATTTATATTGTACTCGGTGCGAGCCTATATTACACCGGCATACCAATAAGGTCATGCCCTAATGAGACGGCTTGTGTATTTCCGGATCTTGATCGTGACGTATCACTGTGTCAAACTGACAATATCAGCTGATAACACGTTTAGAAACCTTACTAACAATCCGTTCGGAAATATATTGTATTGAAATAAAATAACTGCAAAAGTGTTGCAATATTTTTATTGCAATGTATATCATATATTTTTTATTAAAAATATTTTAAATTTTGTATTTTTTTCGCCACAAATATATTGGGTATTGTAAAATTTAGAAGTATATGTTATCGCTATAAACAAACATAATAATCAATATGTGCGAAAATTGTACAATAAAATTCATCAATTCAAGAACTCTTTTAAAATCACTCGTAACACAAATAAAACTTAACATTGTTTAAAATGTAATTGCATCCCATTTGTATTACATGCGGAATTCTATACTCTACAAATACGTAGGCTACACTGTAGTCATGCAGTACAGTTGTTGTACAATACTCGAAATAATTTCAGTAGGTAATTCATTGCTAAATATTACTATTTTTATCTACTCAATGGAAAGTTTCGAAATCTTATTTTTAAATAGGCACTCATTAGGAACAGCATTGTCTTTGGACATTCAAATTATTTTAAGGTAACATAATAAAATGTAATCAGTATCATACATTGCTTATAGCTTGATAAATTTCAATATGGCTACCATCTTCTGGTGTAATAGTCAACTGGCGACTGGCTTTCAAGAAAATAACGGTGCCGGGTCGTGCCCGAATCGGCTCCGTGTCGCAGATCTCTCCTGATCCGGAGGTCACAAGGATGAGACTCGGGCTTGGTCGATTTATTGTGTTGTAGGATCCGCCACTTTGCACCTAAAATTAGGAACATAAAACATAGTTAAAGGAATGATATCGACATATTAGGAAGTCTTTGAGTAAACTAGTTTAATCCTACCATTTGACGACACATAATTTAATTTGTTACATTACTTAATTTAACAATTTCATAATAGTTACAGATATTATTACTTTACCTATTTCTGCCACAAAGCAGTAATGTCAGCATTACTGTGTTCCGGTTTTGAAGGGTAAGGGTGCTGGTGAAATTACAAGCACATGGGACTAGTCAATTTATGTCTCAGGGTGACGGGCGCAGTGGTAGTGCTCCTCAGATCTTTGCAATTTAAAGCTCTGAGTGGCACGACTTGTTCGCCCCGTCACTTGATGTTATAAAAAAAAAATATATAATTCGTAACCAATCGGAGCCTATCATTCAAATGTCAGAGTGTAAAACCGGGTTTAGATTTGTCTGACGTGACGTTTCTGTCTGTATGTCGTGTTCTGACGCCTTCTGACGATATTTTGAATCAATACCGTAGTCTGAAGCGTGCACCCTTGTCTGATCTGACGTGACGCAGGCCGGGATCGCTTCTGATGCCACACGATACAAGCCGTCACGTCAGGTGGTCTACTCGATCTCCGTCCGACATCCGCCCGAAACAATTGCTGCCAAATAAGCAATACTTGAACAAATGAAAAGACGCGTGATTGCGAATGAAGCTTCATACTTGATACTTGTCTTTTAATTTTGTCGAATATTACTTATTTAACAGTAATTGTTTCGGACGGATGTCCGACGGAGATCGAGAGTAGACCCCTGATTGCGACACAGTAATATAATTCTAAACATATTAAATGTATGAACCTATACCGTTCTGACGCGTCACAACAAAACCATCCAAAAACACATCAGACAAATGTAAATCCAGCTTAACACCACTGGTTCACATTTTTACTAAGCGTAGGCAAATGTATTACAGTATGTAGGGCCATTAATTTGGAAGCAGACCTAATGACGGGGATACGATTTAACCGTGAAGCAACGATTGAGGAAGGGTCCATTTACATAAATATGCCTACCATAATTTTTACAACAGCGAAATCAGGCACTGGTGGTCTCCAAATGCAGCTGTTAGGGTCCTCCAGCTGCGGGCTAAACAGCAGATGTTCCTTTGTATAGCTGTTGTAGTCAAGCATTTCCACAAGTGTCGGTACATCAATGTGCTTCGGCGTTAAGCCTGCGCGAACCACATTATCAGAACACGCCATGCATTCTACGCAATCTGAAATTATATTTTCAGTAAACAATATATGAATGAGAAAAGGAAAAAGGGTTGAAGACAATTGAAGACAATGGACGAAGGCCTCCCAAAAAAAAACGGGGTTTTCTATAACCGCCACACTTTTTTTGCTTGGGTTGTGCTACAAGTGTATACTATATTATCACCATACATTACCTTTAAGACTATCCATTCATGCGTTTTTTATCACATGAAATATTTTTTTATTTATTACAATCACATCTGTATAATTAATGTAATGACAAAACATTTATAAAATTTATAGCTTATTATTACTAAATCAATAAATGGGAACAGTAATTACCTCCACTAATATAAGCATGTGGCAAGTTAGGCTTCAAGAAAATGGCCTGTCCAGGATTCAGCTCCAAGTAGTTTAAAAAGTATGGTGCAAAACAACCAACATCACCGGGGAAGTCTTTGTGCAATCTCTTCAATAGAGGATAGTGGAGTGATTGCTGTACAAAAGGATCTGAAAAAATTATAATCTCAGTACAGAGTACTAAAAAACCTCAAAAGTACGTAGAATTACATCTATTTGCAAGTTTTATTGAAATATGGGGATGTTTAGTTCACCACTACACAGGACTTGACACAGGAGATAATAAAAATCGGTGAAAACGCCTTAAATTGTAGAATAGCAAAACCAACCATTACAATAATTGCTCCTTAAGTAAAATTTAGGCGCTATTTATAAAAATGAATGTTTATGCGTGATCAGTCACCCTTAGAGGTGGATGATTTTCTTCAAAATGAAATGGGACTGCTATGGAGGTACATTCTTTCTAACAAATAAGAATCATGAAAATCAGTTCACAAATACCGGAGTTATTGCGTAACATACATACAAAAAAATAAACAAAAAAAACATATAGTCGAATTGAGAACCTCCTCCTTTTTTTGAAGTCGGTTAAAAAAAATGCACAATACAATTTTACTGCAGGTCCAATAGATGTAGTATATTATTTTCTATCAGGTACAAAGCTTTTTTTATTGTTTTTTTTATGATACCAAGTGACGGGACGAACAAGTCGTGCGCCTGCTGGTAAGCGACACGCCTGGCCATAACACTTGCAGTGCCACTCAGAGTTTTAAATCACAAAGATCTGAACGGCACTGACACTGCGCACGTCACTCTAAAACACAAGGTGACAATTACCATGGGCCAGTAATTTCACCAGCACCCTTACCCTTCAAAACCAGTATCTAGTAATCTGACATTGTCGCTTGGCGGTAGAAATAGGTAAGGTGGCAGTACTTCCCTGGACGAATTCTTTCCGAAGGAACTCTACTGCTACTCAACTTGGCTCTACAAGCCTCTAGACTATTGAAATTATATTTAAAGATATTAACTCTTTGGTTATACTAATAGGAAAATTACACTGAATAATATACTTTTCAAGATTTTAACTAATTATCACTAGTTACATTTTTACAAGACTCATGCCCATGGAACGTGATACCTTACTGAAATATCGGAAAATTAAAAATAATGAAAAGAAAACTATTAATAATGATAACCCCTTACCCTGAATTAGACTGCATAGCTAAATAATTACATTTATTTAATTATGCCAATTGGGGCTAGTGTATTGGCGATCGCAAATGTGTAATAGATTACAATATATAAGATTATAAACTTAGAAGTTTCAATACTCATATAATATCGTCACTCATTTATATATTTAAGTTGCTCTCTAGAATACTTACAGGTACATATTAAAATGTAACTAAGTATACCTAAAATGTAACTGCCTACATACTATTACACCTGCTATGTAAGTGTAATAGTATGTAATTACACCTACATCTACTATAAACTAATGCACAGTAATAAAATAGAAAATTAAAAACAATAAATTACCAACACAATCAAGAGGCTTATGACAATATTATCACGTTAGGTATCCATATTTTCCTCTTTGTGTGAAGTGATTTACAGCACTTTTAGTACTAGGTATTTATGTTATATAAATATAAATTATCTGAAGCATGTCCGCATTCTTTCACTTTATTTGACATATAATTCAATTTGTTATATAAATAGAAGTTTTAAAGAACTAAATACTTTCTGTTTATATTTGAAGTTTTTTTCTGTAATTAAAAGACCCACAAATTACTTTTACTCTTTAAAACATATTGACTTTTAACATGCTTGAGTAGCCCTATGTTGTAACTCTACATGTGCAAAGATACATAAAATTGTGTTACCTTCCTTCTCCAACCTAGCAAGTAAACTTTGCAAGCTGTTAGTAATAGCAGCCTTATTACTTGTCATCAAAGATTGAAACACTTGCTTCAGAGCATTGCTGTCCACCGGCTCTTCGAGTGATAGTAATTCTTCTACATTCTCACTGTTCAATACTGATGTTAGTTCTGGGAGTCCTGAAAAAGTTAAGTAATGAATAAATAACAAAAATTGTGGCTCAATTTAATGAATAAACGTTTTTCTTTCTTTTTTTCTATTCAAAATGTCTATTTTTTAGATAATATTTACATGTTAGCCAAATGCTATCATTAGTCTGTTAATAGTCAAGGTATTTATATTAATTACACCATTCAATTAATAAGCTAAATTAAAAATATTGTGTAAGTCTGTAGGGTCTGTACATCATTTAATTAACACACTAGTCAAAGCCATTACAAGTGTTCTTATCAAAAGGCTATTTAAATGCACTGCTGAAGTTGATGAACGCTATGGCTAACAAAAGTTAACACATTCATTAAATAGGTGGGTACAATTTGTTATGAGTAATAATATATCTAGGTAATTGCAATACTCACTCCTCAGATATTCCTTTATTTGTGCAAGTAGTCTGAAGCCACAGAGCGCTTCAAATGGTGTCAAAGCTATTGCAAGTTCAGGTTTGTGGTTTGGGTCTTTGTACATGTCTGGAAAACGTTTGTGTAGTGTTTCTGCATGTTCCTGCAAAATTTATGATTACTTTTTCATGCAAAAAAAATCTCTATTAAATCTTCGCTTGTGCTTTGATTCCTTGTACATGTCTGGAAAATGATCCTGCAAAATGTACTTATGGTACACAAAATAAAATTCTTAATGGGGTTACACTTATTTCATTTCTAGTGGTTGTGATGGAGAGGGAGAAGAGAAAAATAGTGTGTTGTGTGACTTTATAAGTTATTTCAAATATGTGTTTTATATTTTACATCAAAAACAAAATTTTTTCTCTTTTATAGTGTATACATAAAAGAGAGGAAATATTATAATTTCTATAATGCTTAGAGCATAAAATGTACACAAAGTATGTCTTAGTTAAATAATGCAATTTCGATACAAAATTTCAAACATACTTTTGTAGGATGGGCTTGAACAGAGAGTGCTTTTCTTATCGACAGTACTTTCAACAAAAATGGCACAGACACACCGAAATTTTTCCTCACTGTAGGGCCAATGGCATCTAGGTTATCCCTAATATATTCTGAGAGAAGTACACCTCGGTCAATGATCAGAGACGGGCCGTTCGGGTGTGTACCCATCCATAATTCAGCATACGGCTTTGACTCTTCGATAATTTCATTAGGGTGAGCACTAGACACCAGTTTGGCAACTGTACTCTCTCGACCTAATTTTCCCCAATCGTAATTCTGCACTTTGCATTTAAGCTCCATTTTCATTCACTGCAACATTTAGAATAATAACTATCAAATAAACAGTAACAAGTATTTTAAAAATTATTAAATAAGTAGCAACACGATATAAAGAGCAATGGTAGAGTCAATAAAATAGTAATACACAAATAATATAATACTCACTGTGCTGGCGCGAGGAAATAAGTTTGTGGTTAAGCGGAGCTCATAAATTTCAATTGTCGGCTAATAGCTATATGTTTCACCACCCAGTTCAACTGATAAAAGTTATGTTTCTTTCTATTTAATGTCGCTGAAGTACCGCGGCTCCGGAAAGTGTCAGATTATTTTTATCCAAAAACGCGTTAAATCTTAGATAAAGTATGGGCAACACGTAAAGTTAAACAATATAAAAAAGTTTGTTTTCATTAAAAATGTGGTGGTGTAATAACTGCTATGTAATCCTAATCTCTTTAACAAAAACGGTATGCCTTGGTGTCAATGTCAAAAATCTGTTCGCTTTCTATCTATCTCACTTTACCCAATACTTTTGATGCGTTACAGATAGAGAAAAAAGATTATGTTGAGAGGTCACTTTTGGCGGTGAAATTTAAAAAACCATTGACTCTACATTTATGATCTGAAATGATTCAAATCCCATTTACTTCTCTGTATGCGAATATGTGTGAATTTTGTGCTTATTTCCGTTCGTGTCCAATCATATAAATAAATTAAAAGTTCGATAGGTATGTATTTTGTGCGGAAAGATGAAAACAGTTTATTTACTCAGTTTACATTTATTTACACATTCCTACTAGTCTTCCAGTCTACATACTGTCTAACGTCGTCATTTAAACTTCCTAATACATCCTTTAGTGGAGATTTTGTAGTTATTTTCGCAACATTTTCATCCTTACTTTCTTTTGTGAGTTTTGACATTAACAATTGTGAAGGTATTGAAAATCCAGAAAGACCTCTGTTACTTATTTCCACATTAGGCCCATCTTCTAAAGGTTCATATACACCAGGATCATTCCTAAAACTTGGTTCTACGAATTTTAAGCTTTGCCTAACATTCATTAACTTACCAGACGGCCTGTACTCCAGTTCTACTTCTTTTAAGTCTAAATATGGATTCTTCTTCATAATAACTAGTTGTTCGAAATGTCGTAAACCATCTTCGCTTGATAGGTTTTTCTCTAAATCTCTTCTAGATACACCGTTTACACGTTCGTAAATGTTTTTCCCGAAGTCTTGTGTAGAGTCCCTTATTCTTTTGAACGCTTGCTCAATGTTTGCCGCCATTTTTTTGCTTCTTTCCACTATGGTTTTGTGATGAACGGGAATATTGCATTGCTCGGTTTCTGGGAAAGGAAACCCATTATTCAGATACAGCATCAGCTACAAGCTTAAATAGATACAAATTGCACTAGTTGGATATATCATAGCAACATCACTTAGATCTGAGTATGCCGTAATTAGATACATATTGTAATAATAAAAATAAAAACGGCCGTGTTAGCCTAAGGGCGCATTTCGACACGAATTACATCGCGCTCACCCCGCGCCGCCGGCGCAGAGCGGAGTCCGGGTTGCCACCGCGCAGCGAAAGCGTGCGTCTAACTGTCATGGCAAAATTTAGTTTTTACGTTTTAACTGAAATGAGCGTCGAATTTGGTCTACGCGGCGGCTCGCGCGGCGGCCGCGCGGTTTTATTATTCAGAGGAATTTAAATGTTGTTGCCTAGTAAATAGAATTCAGATTCGCCATTAATGTACATCAAGGCGGTAACTGGGCGGGTGCCGCTCGGGGGCCGCGTGAAAACTTTCTCCTCGTGTAACCGGGGGCTAATGGTTTAACATATTGCATGTCAAGCAGAGGGTCGTGGGTTCGAATCCGGGTACGTACCTCCGAGATTTTTTAAATTTACGTGCGAAATTTAATTTGAAATTTACTATGAGCTTTTCGGTGGGTATTTTTATTTTTCTTTCGAATGTTTATACTATATTAACACTTATTTGTTTAAGATTTTTAATGTTATTTTTGTTCACTAACACTTGTGTGGAGCGAAGTCTGAAATAAATTTATTTTATTATTATTATTATTATATTTATTTTAAACTCTCGCCTCTCCCAAGGCCTAAAAGATTAATTTTGAATTTTTTAATGGGAGAGGCGGTATTTCACGGCTATGGCACAGTCGGCCGGGGTCAGGGACTCAGGTCCAAGAACCGGCGAACAATACGTGCCGTATCGAGCAGGACCGCCTTCTGCATTTGTGCTGGAAGCGACACGCCACAGAAATCCAACCGCCTCAAGCTGTTAGAAAGGCTGACTGGAATTAACCCATTTGCGAACAAAACAATTGAGATTATTTCAGTGGAGGCTACATCCCACATGTCGGTGATCTCGTGCGCCAGGTCGAGATACTTCCGGCTTATTATTATTATTATTGAATAGAAATAGTGTTGAAATTGGTTACCGGAAAGTGCGTGAAACCGGATTCATCCCCTAGTTTGCCGTCCTTACAGGTGGAATATTTTCTACAACTTTAAATGGAATCAATATCAAGGTATCCTCTATCCAACAAACAAAACAATCATCAAAATCGGACAAGAACCGTGATAAAAATAAATATAAAAAATAAAAATAAAAATAAATTTTTGTAAAAAATACAGTCGAATTGAGAACCTCCTTTTTTTCAAATCGGTTAAAAGAGAGAAAGTCAAATGCCTGAAATAGATTTTAGTATTTTTTAGATATAGATCCTCAATTTTTAAAAACTTACGATTAGGGTAAAAAGAGTTGACACTACCAGACATTTCCCTGTGTAGCGGAAATGTATAATTGAAAGTGAGGCATAGCATTACGCAAACGACAGTCAACACAGCGGCATTTTTTTGCATTGTATTGTTAAAATATTCACACAATTTCTCCCTAAATGTTAAATAAAACATTGACATTATTTGTCTTTTATATCAACCGAAATGTCAAATGAAGTAAGTTGACTAAAAGTCTTTAAAAAAAAAAGGAACGAGTAGAGACGAAAATAAATAATATTGTAATTTTGATCGTACTGAATATATTGTTATTCATGACTATACTATGTATTAAAAATTTAACATTTAAAACTATTGTTTTAATCACTTAAAAAAATGAATATACTTAATAAATTATGTATTATAGGAAAATAAAGAATAGATGTTGCCTTGCAATTTTTTCCGTACATGACATTGACCTACCTACATGGTCATTTTTACTTAATACTGGCAAGATCATCGATGACGTCGATGGGGTCATAACATTTAAAAGAAGAAGAAGCATGTATTATAGGTTTTTTCCATCCTCTAAGATTTTACGTAAGTATACGTGTACGAGAATCACATACGTGAAACAAAATCTAAAAATTCGAAAGGCAACCTTAGTCATAGATATTTTTTAAATAAATAGTCATACTTTTCATTGATATAGTTTTATTCTCGACTGTATTTACTAATAGAAACGGTTGGGTTGGGGCAAGTGGAAATGAAATTCCACTTGTCCCAACCAGTGATGGCGTGATAGGGAAGAGTGGAAAAACAGTGCACTTGTCCCCACCTTTTTTTTGGTGCTCAATCTCACTGGTAGTTGCTATTGATGAACACTTGTTACTTATTTTTTACATTTAAATCTCTGTCCTGTATTTTCCCATTTCCCGCTTCGGAGTATACCTAAGTGATATAAAAAAAAAACCTATAGGTAAGTATATTTCAATCTATATTCTTGTCTACTGTTAGACACCAAATTAATATTTTATTAATTAAAGTACTCATTATGCATCTATATTTACTAAAAATAGTTCTAATTAACATTTTTTTAACAAATGTTGAAGAATAACCCCGCCCGCAAGTCCCTCCTCTGCTACTGGACGTATTTCATTGGTTGCAGCGACCCCTTTCCACTGTTCCTACCCCTGTTTTTAACGGGAAAAGCGTATAAGGGCGGGACTTTAGAGTCCCGGGGGATAGCAGCACCTGTCTCGACAACATCAATCCACGTGCTAACTTCGACATTAGTACACGTGTGACAGTTTTATTAGTGATTTCATAACGGGAAAACTTTAGTTGGTAATCGTTAAGTAATTTCTAAATATTACGTAGGTACCCATTTAGTGTTTTCAATTTTGATACTTATAACCATACAACATTATTTACAAAATTAGTAATAATTAGTTATTGAAATGTGTAAACATTGAAATCGTAAGATTTTATTTATCAATATTTATAGTGTATTCAAACCTGACTAGTACCTAACACATAAGCGACTGAGAGAAAGCTACCAAAGTATACAATTTTGTTTTCCAAAATCGTAAAGGTACCTACTCATTAATTAAAAACTAATTGTATAAGTGGTAAAATATCATTCACAATAATGGCTGAAGATATAAAATCAACCAATAAACAATGTAATACCGTAACTAATATTCAAACACCGCGACCATCCTCACCAAGAAAATTTTTCGCAAGACTATATGGTCATCTTGAAGAGCCTAAGGCGAAACAAGCAGAAACAAAAACACAGTTCGACAGCGAGTCGTCCTCTGATGTTGAAGTGGAAGAAAGTGGATTAGAAGATAATGAGCAACGATCTAGCAGTATGGAACTTGCCGCAGCTCGAAGTCCGCCTCTTTGGCCGCCACCACCATTGCCAATATGTCCTAGACCCATGCTGTTTCCCCATCAACAGCTAGCGTTTGGAGCTGGTCTTGCTGCTTTTCGTAAGTATAACTGTGATATACATTTTAATACGGTGGGTCATGACGAAAGACATATATATATATATATATATAATATATATATATATCGATACTTCGTGCCACAAACAAAAATAAAGATGTTTTGGTTCGTATCATTCTTATTTTTATAATGTTTAAGTAAGAAGTCACTTCTTATAGCTACCAAAACTAAAGTGGACAGTTCAAAAGAGCATAAAAATTTAACCCGATTACCATTCTGCACTCCTTGTCATAACTAACGCATTTGCAATTTTGTAACTTTCGAGATATCGGCACCTAGTTTTTTTTTTTATTTGAAAAATTTCAATTATGTTGATTTTTCTCAACACTAAAACTGAAACTAATTATGATATAAAAAACCTTTGTCGATTACGTTAAGTATCATAAGGATGCTGCCCGCATTGACCTCCGACTACGTAATTAAGTAATTTCTGATGAAAATTGATTTTTAAGTCTTTTTATCCACGAAGAACAGTGTATCAAAATCATTGACCTAAAATTCATTAATTTATGAACATTGACGTTTAAACTACATCTAAAGAAGTGATTTATTTACAAACTCCTTAGAAAATGGAAAAAAATAAAAATCTAAGACAAATCTTATTGGAGGATAGAAAACAAACTATATATGCCTAAGTATATACAAATTAAATGTCTTGAAGAATTAATGAAAAAAGAACCTAAACATAACAAAATCACACATTTACAGTGGCAATGATAACATGTGAATATTCTGTAGGTAAACACAGAACAGGTGAACGGTAGTAGGTATTATAAAAATAATCTAATATATAATTATTAAATAATTCTAATGTGGTTGGACATTTTGGTTTCTGTGAGTGAATTAACAATTTAATAAAGTAATGAATCTTAAAAATTTCGTCTTTATTACAAAATTAATTGAAAAATGATCATAAAATATATAAGTTTGAAAGAGTCGAATCTACAAGACTGAAATGCTGTGTTCCACTAAATCATAACTTTAATATAATTATCATTTGCCTGCTGTAAATTATAACCCAATCATATGATAATTTAATACAAAAAAACATATCTGCAATATCGATGCTTACATAACATTAAAACTTAGATTTCTTCGTAGATATAGCGAAGTGGTATTTAAGATGGTTTTTCTCGTGATCATGAAAATACTACAGTTTATCATAAAAAATGCAATTCGACTAAACTTTAATTGTTGTTAATATACTATTGAAATATGTAATGATATTCAAGCACGTCCGCACCAGGTAAGTGAGAAGTTGTCTGACCCGGAAGCGACAGCTAACAATAAAAAATTAAATCACAAAAACGAGTTTAAAAAATGAATGTACCGGGGAATTGAAGCGAATTTTTGTGAATTAGAATAGTATATTGAAACTTATGCCAATTGTATAATATACAATGCATACAAACTATTATTACTCTAGCCTAATTCGATGTAGAATAAATGTCAACCAACAAAAACATATGATTTTTAGGGTTTTCGCCTCAAGACTGTTTCGCAGTTACCACAATTTCAATATTTTTCCCCAAAATTTATTACATTATTATTATTTGGCCATTGATAATATTAATCCTGAAGTCATGTCTGTGATGAATTTTGTTTGATAGAAGTTTCAAATCGCTAGTAAGTAATGTAAAACTAACATAAATATTACTACTAATTATTTTTTTATAAAACAGTGTCATCCTTTATGATTTTTTGATATGAATGAAAGAGATTGCTAACTAATCTAGTTTCAGTAATAATTCAAGTTTAGAATTGGAAATTGATGCTGGTGAGATAATTGTGTAGTAAATTAATATGAAATAATATCTTAAAATTTTGTTTCTTTTCATTTACCATTACCTATTATCTAACAGTAGGTAAGTATTAATAGGTATCAAAAACTTAATTATTTTATTCATAAACCATACGTATCAATAGGCACTTTGCAAACTTTATAACAATTGGTGAGGTAAGTATTACTTTTACATATCCTAATTATCTACTTACCTATTTACGCGAGCAGGCCGTAGGTAGAGCTAGTCTACATCATGGGTATTGACAAAAAATTTTGTTTTTCTATGCAATCATTGGTTACATAGCAAAGTTTTGTTATTAAACTATGTCGAATTTGGCTAGAGTCGATCCCGTAACTGCGGGAAATCCCGAGACAGCGCGAGAATTCTCTGGAAGACGCGTGACCCGTTTTCTGACTCGTATCTAGTTTGTATAAATCTTCTTCTTATCGTATCGATGGCATACACTATTATTCTTGCTATCGTGGCGAAAGAATTTGCCAATTAGGCGTAACGTAAGATACTCGATGATTGCAGCTGGTTAGTTATGCTATAGTTACAAAAATTCGCTTACATTGAGTCTTCATCCCGATAATTTAATATATTATTATTATTTAATATTATTTAATTTTCGAGTGATTTCAAGATGTTTTAGTAGGAAGGGAAGTGAAACAGGATTCATGTAGTCTCCATTCAGAAACAAAAAGTGATGAAATTGGGATGTTACAAAATAATTATCTGGCTCCGTGGCCGGACGGTTACCACACTGGACTGCCACGCAGAGGTCCCCGGGTTCGATTCCCGGGTCGGAAGAAACATTTGTATGGCCTACATTTACTTCTCTCGTGAGTTTAATAAAGTGTAATTTGTGCTTGTCTATGTGTGTGTACATGGCACCCGCGATATAGGGTTTCCCTAGTGCGTCGCTATGAGCATTTTCCTTCCTCCGTTTTAACAAAATAAGCAAACGTAATGTTTCTTCATCAGATACTCTCGCGCAACTGATCCAAAGATGAAATTTTAGACATTTGTCTAGTTTAGGAGCTAGATTTGTGATCCTTAGATTTGTTACGCCTTTTCTACCTATTTGATTTATTTTATTTTGTTTACATTTCGAACCTGTAAATTTCTTCTCTATATATAAGGTTAAGGCGTGTTTTTGAATAAAGATATATTATTATATTATGAAATCTGCAGCGCTTTTACAGGCGTCTAATTTGAATGCGCTCTTAGCTACTCTAACGCTGTCAATGTTAGATAAAAAGTGAATACTTTGGTTAGGTGCGGTGGGTAACACATATACAAATAATTTTTCAAAGGTTATTGTACAAAATGGTTAAATCTATGAATATCTTATTCAAAAATCAGTTTATATCGTAACAATACGTGTGACGTGGTTCTCTTTGTAGAGATGGTTAAAACAACATGAGGCTGAAAATGATTGGGGAAAAATGATATTTTCACCTCAGCAGCTCGAACAAGGCTATTTTGCTGTGTGAAATCAGTGAGCAAAATCTTATTTTGCTCACTCCGTGAGAAAAAGTAGCTTTTTGCTTTTTAAGTGGAGACTTGTCATTTAATGCGAAGGGGTCTAATACAAATTCGACATATTTCAAAATCAGTCGCTCCGTCCCTTTCACTTCATTACAAGAAAAAGGAAAAAGAAAATTATGGTTTATTCGTACTTCGATATTTAAGCTACATAGTAGACCCCCACAAAATGGCTGAACGAGTGCACGTTCGGAAACTCGTCAATTCATCTAAAAGATAAATTATGTGAGAAATACAAATACGATTTTAAACTATGATAATTTAGTTTTTACAATTTTCATTAAAAATAAAGCAAGTGTTGCAATAAAATTATGCTAAATTTATAACGTCAATTAAAGATAACAATATTTACAATGTGTGATTTCAATGAATACAAGCGAGAACGTTCCGGAACGCAATAAATAAAAGCGCGCTTTCTTTTTTTTTTAATTCAAAATTTCTTATTTGCTTGCGATAGGTACTTCTTTGCTTCTTCTTTGATAGTTAATTGGATACCTACCTACGTAATAAAATAGAAAATATGAGCGATTCCAGTGAAGACGACAATTTTTTAACTCCTCCAGAGTTAGTTGAAACTGTTAAAAATGCTGAACTAAGTTTCTTGCCTAGTAAATCTCGTGAAAAGTACCTGAAAGTCTACGAACATTTTGACAAATGGAGGCACGAAAAGGGCGCAGGAAACACTATGTCGGAAACTGTGCTTCTGTCTTATTTCATTGAAATGTCGCATACAAAACAGCCGTCAACGATGTGGAGTATATATTCGATGTTGAAAGCTACATTACAAACTAAAAATAACGTCCATATAAACACTTACGCAAAGCTGATTGCGTTTTTGAAAAGATCGGCCGTCGGCCACAAATCAAAAAAATCGAAAGTTTTCACGGCTGCTAATATTGAAAAATTTCTTAATGAAGCTCCAGATTGCACTTTCCTAGCCGCAAAAGTAAGTATTGAATATTATTACTGTTGTCGTAGCGTTATATTTTAATTGTTAATACAATTTGGACTTTGGTAGTTATGTTATCAATTTCTATCAACATAATTATACTTACCTACTTAAATGTGTTGTTTTGGCGACTTGTATTGGAACTTTATGGTTAAAAATAACGCTACATATTATGAGAAATCCACGTTTAAGACTGTTCTAAAAGACACAATACTTATTGACGTTTTATTTATGTTTCAGGTCATCCTTATCATTGGAATAAACGGAGCATGCCGCTCCAACGAGTTATTGAATCTAACTCCTAATGCCATTGAACAACATTCCAGCGACCTTCTTTTGATTAACCTGCCAAATACGAAAACAAATATAGACAGGTCGTTCGTCGTCCGTGAGGAATACGCACACGTTGTCCAGAAATATAAAGCATTGCGCCCTCCCAATACGATCACAGACCGCTTTTTCATACAATATCGTAATGGAAAATGTACGCGGCAACCGATGGGTATTAATAAAATAGGAGCGACTGCACGAGAAATCGCAACATTTTTAGATTTGAAAGAGCCGCAGCTATACACTGGCCACTGCTTCAGGCGAACATCAGCCACTCTTTTGGCAGATGGAGGAGCTGACCTCACAACGTTGAAGCGCCATGGCGGTTGGAGATCAAATACAGTAGCTGAAGGATATATCGAAGATTCAA